CAGCAGGCAGCATGCACTACTGGGCGCCAGGGCGCAGAATTCTAAACTAGAATCGGTTATAGGGGCTGCTCCATTAAGAAGACCCGGAAATCTAAATAGAACCAACTGACTGACTGAATGCATAGAGGCAACACTTGATGGAGAGAGATAGAGAGAGATATGTAAATATTAACTTAGGCATTCAATTTAAATGCATCTTTAATTTGTTGCTGAGGAGCGAGCGAGCGAGCGAGCGAGTTAGGCAAAACTTTATGGGTTTCGCTTTAACTACTTAGAGGCGGGCGGGTGGGCGGCATGCCACAGAGCAGAGGCGCTGCAATGGAATGCTGTATGTAATGCACACCTGCCACATGGCTGCCAGGTAAATAGGCGACAGCTGCCCCGGGCGAGGCATTAATTCCGGCAGCCGCGACTACAGATGCAGATGCAGCAGCTGGAATGTGGCAGCGTTTGGAAGGGGATGGAATGGAATGGGCTGGAATGGAACGCCTGAGCCATATATGAAATGCCGACGAAGCTGGCGCTTAGAAGTATGAAGTAATGGGAATTCTGAGAGGGAAGCACATGCTGTGAAACTTGGTGTCGATTCCGGAAGGAGTTAGTTTCCCTCTCTGTATGTGTGTGTGGCTGAAAAGCAGGAAAATGGAATAGGAAATTGAGCGTGTCTAATGCGTGCTTATGGCGCACATTTTAATAGAATTTTTCAGAGTCGTGTGTAGACAAGCAACAGGTGAGTAGGTGAGCAGGTGAGCAGCTGAGCAACTGCCAGTTATAGCCGTTGCTCTCGTTTCTTTTATTAAAATCGTGCTACCTGTCAAAGTAACTCGATTTCCGTTGGCATTTGCATATTGTCGCCAAACTGGAACTTGGCAAATTTCTATCATTTTTCATATATGTTGCACGTTGCGACGTGGCATTCTACAATATTAAAGAAGTTTCATTTTGTTACACAAACACAAACGTGCGTCTGTGTGTGTGTGTGTGTGGCATCTGTATCTGCACTCAAGTCGCGTTTGCTGCTGCCGTTGCAAATAAATTTGTCAAATTGCATTCACAATTCGCTGTTTTTCTTTGCTCTCGCTTATGAAACTGTGCGGTGTTCAGTGGGTGGTGCGGTGGTTGGTGCGGCGGCTGCATGTTGCAACTGAAGCTGAAGCTGAAGCAGCCGCAAACAAGCGACACAGCAATGTGTCGCTCCGCATGTCGCTTTGGTCTGTCTCTGTGCCACGTCCTCACGTGCTCCACTCCACCACCAGCGCCAGCACCACTGCCACCCAGCCACTGACAGCTCTTACACATTTCATTTTATTGTCACGTACGCGTTCATTTCGTAGTTTCTCTTTATGGTAGGTCGGTGCTGGTTTTCCACCAAAAATTATTTCTATTGCCAGACAGTCCGCCTTGTAAGGCCATGCCCAGATGTCGTATTTCACTTCACTTGTACTTGTTCATAAGTCTCTGCTTCTTCTGCTTCTTGTTTTATGTTGAGCTTCATTTACATACAGGGTGGCTCAAGTAAGCAATTAAGAAGCTATAATAATCAGCTTGTCGCAAATAAATGCTTCATTTCAAAAGGGCGTTTTACTTACTTCAAAGAAATTACAAGCAAATATATAGACACTTGTTCGTTTATATATATATATATATATTTCTAGAGAACCTCTTAACTACAAACTTGTGCAATTGCATTGAATTGAAGTTAAGTAGCAAAGCGATTGGAAAACTGTTTCATGTCAAACTAAATAAGTACAGTTATTTTGTTACTTTTCTTCGAAATGCTCAGCTTTGAAAATTGCAATTTCCTGTATAATGTTTTAGCTGCAATTTTTGCAGCAGTTAGCAGTGGGCGTGTCCTAAAGTTGTAGTCCATGAAGTCGACTTACTGCGTGTGCTTTGCCTTAAGCTGGTCTATGTTGGGTATTTTCTAGTCGAGCACTATCAACTAGAGCGCGCTTACTTCATCCATGCTGCAAGAGTGCCACGCTTTAAATTTAATATTGACTAACAATTAATTATAGCTGACAATATAATATATAATTAATCTTGAACATAAATAATAAATAAATCTAAAATATATTTAATATTTTTTGTTTATGTTTGCCAAACAGTAAAATAGTGTTTATTTGGCTCAACATGATTTATTATCGTTGCTTTTTGCGCTTTTATTTTGTGTTCTTTGTCAAGCTTAAATTACATGGCGAAAAACAAAACAATTGTGATTCTAATAGTTTGTTTTTAATACATTAGTTTAATTAATAGACTGCTTTGGGAATGGGTATGAGTGTGTGTATATATAATATATATATTAAAGTTGTAAAATAATTGCTATGCAATGCGAGGCTCATTCGCCTACCTTAAGCCTCCTTTCTTCCTCCACTTTGCAAGCCCTACAGAAGTCTCTAAGCAGCTTCTATTGCAGCAATCCACTTTCGAGTGGCAAAATTGATTTTAAATTGATGCAAATCAATGCAAAAGCGGATTGACTGGAGAGAGCAGATTACTTTGAAACAGAATAAAGCAGTTTTCATTATTATTTTAATATATTTGCATTATTAGCAGCAAATTATAGAAGCAAACTCTCGTCTGAATGTCTTTAATCCACCAATAATTTATTGGCATTAACAAAAGTTAAACAGATAATAATTTAGATATTTTTCCACCCCAAAATATAATAAATAATTTAAGCCTAAACTTATATCAATGGAAAATTTTTATTTATTTTTTATTTTATTTTTTTATTTACAATAATATTAAATAAAAATATACTTTAAAGTGCTTTAAATTATTTATAAATAAAACAATTCCTTTTAACATTTTATTCAATATCATACACCACATCTGTGGTCTGCTCTTGGCCAGGCAGCTTAAAGAGTTAATCAGTCAGTCAATCGATCAGTCAGTCAATCAGAAATCGCTGTGTTTGTAATTCGTAAATTGACATCTGTAACTCGAAATCTGTTAGCATCTCACTGGGAAGCTGCATCTGCATAGCTCAGCACATTCGCAGTTGCGATGCAATTAAATCGGACAGGCAGACGGACGAGAATAGAAGCTAAGAAAAACCTGATAAATGTCAAATGGAAAGCAGAAATGCTGATGATAAAAAGTCAGCAAGCCGAAGAAGAGGCGACCGCAGTCAATTTGTAAAAATAGAGGAGTATGCGTGCTCAGGGCTAAAGGAGGAATTTACTCGAGCTGAGCTAGAGGAGCAGCTGCACTTAGTTAATTGAGAATTAGAAACACTTTGCCGCTCGCTGTTCGCGTGCTGCATTAACTTTAACTTTGGTAATCAGCTTTGAGTAAGTTTTACAAAATGAATTAAAATTCCTTGCAATGAATTAAAGCACGAGACTTAAGAGCCAGCTAGCCATCTATGAGCAGTCCAGCGGTCCTCGGAGAGGCAGGACACATTTGTAGAGCGCTAATTCAGTTTGCCGTATCATCTTGAAGTTCGTGTGCCGCGCAAAAAGTTTGCCTTTTCCCTCTTTATTTTTTCGGCACTCCGTGGATTACACGCAGATGCAGCTGTAGCGGCAGACGACAGGAAATATGAAAACTAACAGACTTATTGCATTACTTACGCTAAATAACCCACTTACAAAAGCGGCGCACATGAAAAACGAACAGGATGGCTCAATGACAAAATGAGCAGCAGCAGCAGCAGCAGCTGAAGCAGTAGAGGAAGATGATGATGATTAAGAAGGTAGCTAGCTAGCTAGCTGGCAAATGCGTACGGCAAACCGTAAACCGTAACCGGTAAACGGTAAACGTAATGCTGATGGTGATAATGATAATGATGATGCGGGCAACTTATTAAATTCTGCAACGGATGCTTGCAAGTAGAGTTACAACCGCTGACAGTCAGCACGCTCCCTTCTGCCCAAAAACCTGGCTGAGCAGAGCCGAGCATGACAATTGCACAAGGCAACTTGACAGCCACACTGACAGCCTCTCAGCCTCCCAGCCTCCCAGACTCCCAGCTGATGAAGTTTTTGCTATTGCCTGGCTGAATGCATGAAAAATCTCAGCTACGTGCTTCATGCCACATGAATGTGCGAGTACAGGTAACCAAAGGAAAACAGATCGATGAAGCAGATGTGTTTTGGCTATGCCATACCCTGTGCTGCAGTGTTCATGTTTTGGCAATGCATTTAAAACGTGTTGAGTTGAGTTGCTGTTAATTGATAATTGACATCAGTTGCCCAGAATATAGTAAGCACACTCATTTCCTATAGAGTATTCGATGGCCATTCAATACTTTGTGTGCCTCACTTTGGGTTCTCTTTCTATTCGCATGGGTCATAAGATTTGCATTCAGAGAATTTGTTCGGTATTTGCTTTTCCTCTGCTGCTCGCACGCCTTGCCGTCTTTTGTTAATAGTTGGAAAAAGCTCTTGAATTTCACATCTGACTCTGGAGTTGCACAAAAATCTGCATGTTGCACACAGATTCATCACAGTTGTGTGGAGCTTGGAGCGTGGAGCCAAGAGGCTGCACTTGTATGTATCTTAAATTTCAATAGGAATAACAATACAGCAGCTGCGTGCTCTGTGCTCTGTGCTTTAAGTTCTGCACTCGAGAGAGTCTTTGGTTTCGTGTGTTTGTATTCAAATTTATGCAGGCGGGCAGCGGGGGTCGACGTCGGCGTCGGCGTCGGCGTCGGCCAAAGATGAAAATGAAAATCTAATATGCTAGAAAACCCAATTAAATGCTGCACAAAGCAAGCACAAGGCAGCTGGAAATAATTCTGTTTACGCTCAGCCCGAGACAAGTTAAATCTTTTCTTCTGCGCACAGCGCGCCAGCTGAGACAGGACTCCGCAGCGCCTGGGGTTAGGCTAGGAAAAAGCGCAGCGCGTTCACATTTGATTGGATTTGCCAGGCGCGCCAAACTGAAGCTATACAAATTTGAATGCCGCACTGAAATATGACACGAAATAAAGCTAGTTTGGCTCTCATTTCTAATTGTTGTGGAAATTCATTTAATTCTTTCTCTTGCAGCTGCCACAGTTGCGAGCCACTGCAGGACGCCGGCTGCCCATGTGAGGTAAGTTGGAGAATTGAATTTGTCCAGCCATTGGGCACATTTCGTATTTCAGTCACGACACTTGCGCTGGTTGCCAAAAAAGAAGAAGAAGCTAAGGAAACGAGTCAACGCCACACAAATACAGCTCAGCGCATTTTTATGGCAATCGTCACTATTACAACAGAAATACGTGAGACTATTTCCGAGTCATTTTATACGTAGTATATATGTTACTTCACGTATTTTTTACAATTTCTCTAACTACTCACATAAACCTTGAACTTTCGAAATGGCAAATAAGTTTGACTGCCTCCGGAATACCCTGTATTTTAAGCAAGTTTGCTTGAAGAGAAGTTTTTTAAAATTGGCTAGGGTTAAGGAATTACATGAACTCTGTCTTGGCAGCCTTAAGACTGCTGCCTGAACACATTCTAAAGCATGCTTCAGAACTAAGACTGCTGCTTAGAGTTCACTAAGGCACATTCTAGAGAGCTCTGACTTGAACTCAATATAGCTAAAGTATAATGGGACATTCTAGAAGATCATTCAAGCTTCAGAGTTATGCCTAGAGTTCATTAGGCCAAACTCTAGATGAAGACTAAAGACTTTGTGCTGAGCTCACTGCATATTCCATATTCCTTCATATGCATATTCCAGAGGATCGTTAAAAGGAACAGTCTAGAGAATCAGCTAAGTTGAAGACTCCTGTCTTGAATTGCTCAGAATGAAGGGGCATTCTACAATAATCTAGAGTTCATTAAGACACATTCAGTTTAAAGACTTCTTTCTTTGAGCGCTCTAAGCCACAGTCTAGAGCATCTTTCAGCATAAAGACTTCTACCTACAGTTCATTTAGGCTCTTGTAGAGCATCGTCCAGGCTTAAGATTTCAGCTTTAGATAATACAAACCCCAAGACAAGAAGCATGAAAACTCATTTTCACGCGTGCAGCTCAACAGTTTCCATAGCTCACAGATTCGCCAATTAATGCCAAAAAGATGAGCACAAAGACTGGGAAACTCTGATCAACAGACTCAAAACAGACAGACAAAGTGGAAGATAAATTAGATAACAAAAATATATTTTCTAATTAAAAATGTGCAGATTCACAATTGACTCAGGCTTTCACCTGCCACTCACTCCGCACACTTGTCATGGTTACCTTTTCCATTAGATGTTGAATGAATAGCACTTAGTCACTAGGGGCTGACTAATGTATGTGTTTTTAGCTAGAATTTAAGCAAAAGCCAAATCCAATCGTCTTCAGCTGTGTGGGCGCTGCTAATGAGCTCGTTTTTGTTGTTGTTGTTGTTGTTGTGCTGTGTGGTTTATGCTACTTGTGAGTTTTTCACAATGCGGTTACAGCTGTGCCACAACAAAGTCGTCGTAGCTCAAAGGGTAGGCATTAAGCCAGTCAAACACGAAATCAGCATGCAAAATAAATGTGTAGTCAGTGCTGGGCCTGGGCGTTGGGTGTTGGGTGTTGGGTGTTGGCAAAAGGATTAGGCAAACTCAAGCGAACTCAAAGTCAAAGAACTCGTTTGTGGCACAGTGGAGCGGCATTCGGAGTGGCTAAGTGACTCGACTCTGCCTTTTTATATGAACACTTTAGATTTATGTGGCACACGCTCACGCACTTGCTCCACTTCTGCTGTGCTTTGGTCCACTTAACTCAGCTGTTGACCGAGTTTAGATCAGACCAACTTCTGTTGAGCGATCAACTGTTTAGGCAGAGGGCGCAGCGATCCTGTTTTGCCCATTTTTATGTGCAGCAGGGATCCCTGGCCATGCGTTTGCGCTCTTTATGGCTGCACTCGGCTAGTTCCTTCGGCGTTGGCCATAAAGTGTCGCTGCCCAAGAACTAATCGGTGGCTGCCATAAAAGCAAAACTGCCGCAACGAACCAAGTTATTGGCTAGTAAAACTAGTGGAAGGCAACGCGCACAGGTTGAGCGTGCCACATGTGCCCGGGGGAGCAGGGCTGTGGCTGCATTTGTGTGACATCTTAAGTGCATTGGCCCAGGCCCAGGCGGGCAGCCGGTGCTTTGGCTGCCGCATTTATGATCGCATTTTTCGAGACAGACAATGTCAAACAGAAACACTGTTGTCTCGCAAAGTTTTGCCTTTTAGTGACGCTTTTTTTATTAATTTGGTGAGTCGACGAACCACACGACTAAAAGCTCACATTGTGGTTTTTATGCGCCAAAGGAGGGCGAAAAAAGGGCGGAAATCCCGCACAGATTTATGAAAAAACTATATCCGCAAAGCTTTTATGCATACCGGAGCAGGCTGTACATTAATTTTAAGTATATTTTTTTATGTCGAGACCGTGTCAAAAACTACCGCAAAGCTTAAGCCACTCCCGCACTTGAACAGAAACTCGCAAATGTTTTTAATAAACTCACGACTCGTTTTCATTTCTGAGAGTCGCTCGGAGATTTTTCTCATATGACAATCAAATTATGATAAAAAAATAAGATTTTCTGCTTTTCATTTATTTTTGTTCGTTCTTATATTTTTGTTTTCACATATGATTGATTTATAGCTATATATTGAGCTCTTTCTACTCCCGCCTCCCACTCGCTATGTGGCCTTTGTTATCTGCACAAAGTTTTCAATGGGCATTCGCTTGTATTTGTTAGTCTGCTGCTATCGCAAAATAGTTGCTCTACTCGTTCACAAAGTGAAGAGAGCATATTGGCTTGGAGTAAGGTAAGCCTAGCTGGTCGTTCGTCCTAGAGATTTGAGCCTCGTCTTATACAGTGTTAAGATGCGCCTATAAAGTCTCTGCTCAATAGTTAAAATTTTGAGTTCATCAAAGTAAATCAGGCAAGGTTTTGCAGCTAGAACTCCACAATTGATCAGTGAAGTTGCTGCAGAGTGTCTCTTGAGAAGTGATTCAACTGTTTTTTGGACTGTGAACGAGTATTATGCAGTTGATTGCGCCCGACTGCAATATTTTTACTGGTTCGCTTTGAAATATGGCTAAGTAGCTTAAAGGCTACTGACTGCGTCAGTTGCGTATTGCCAACCTACGAAACAAAGTCGATTTATTGCTTAAACATATATATATATATATGTATGTATGTATATGTATGTATTTGTGTGTATGTACATACATAACAGCTTATAAGCATCTGCCCTACTCCCACACAGACGAAAAAAAGGCAAAAGTTTCCGCAATAATATTTGAAAAATGCCACCATAAAGAATTCACGACATTGCGTATAGAGGATATTTTATTTTTTATGCATTTTTATCATGATATTTTATGTTGTCAATGCTTTGAAGGGCACAGTGAGCGAGCCAAATGATATAAAAGGGTGTGCAGGGTTGGAGCGAGGGGGCTTAAGGGATTCGAATTTGTGTGTTTTTGCTTGTGGCGAAAAATATAAACATTTATTTTAGTAATCCAGAGTAATTAAAGTTTTAGCTGCAAAAAAGTTATTGAGGCATTTTAAATGCTTTCACGCCCGGCCCGTCGCTTATTAATTACTTGACACTAATAGCCGCAAACATAACCACAGATGAAAATGAAAACGTAACGAAAACGAATCCCAAATAGCCAATTCTGCGCTCCGTCTGCCCCAAATTGGGGTAGGTGCTCAAAATGGTCAGTCATTATCCGTTGGCTTGGAGGGCGGGCAGTGGAGACACGCCTGATGGCCAGGGCGGAGCTGCAGACTGAGAAGGAAGCCCAGCAACGGCCGAACAGTGCCATGAATGGAACTTATTATCTGCGTCAGTTGTACACAAACACGTACGTTCGACTCGGCACAGCCTCCCAGCCGCACAGCCTCGCAGGCCGTGACTCGGCGCAATAAAATCTTATTAAGGCGCTTTACAATAAGCACTCAAAGGGGAATGCGAATAGCGTGCCCACAAGCCTGGCGGGTAGCTGAAGGCAACACAAAACCCAAAACCCTCAATCCTCAATTCTCAGTCCTCAGCTCTCAGTCCTCAACCAGCAGGCAAGACGCTCCGAGTATAACGCGTTTTTACAAATGTGGCGCCAACAACAAGCGAGTCGGGGTGAATGTTTATATTTTTCGGCTGGGCGTTGGTAATAAAATATATAAAAGCGTACATATATCTATATATATATATATATATATATATTGCGCATACGCCGCATCGTGCGCTGCTTCGAGTGGTCGCTGTGCGGTGCCCAGTGCCTTATGTGTAGTCATTAATAATATATCGCTGCTTCCGGTCGTCGGCGCCCTCGGCAACCAAGTGCGATAAACCGTTTAGCAATATCCGGCAGAGCACAAGAGGGCCAACTAAACAACGCACGACCATATTACGTATACGTAATACAAATAATTGCACTTGTAACTGCTAGCTCGTTCTGCTAGTTTGCTTTTCTTTTGTTTTTTTTTCCCCTCATTCAATGCTGTCACATTAAAAGCCAATGTATTTCTTTTCTCAACTGCGCTGGGGTAGCATTGGCATGTGAAGCTTGGTGGGAATCTATAGAGACAAGAGGGCTGATAAGGAAAACTAAAACTATTTCAGTTAAGCTTTATATAATTGTTGAAAATATTGCTGACAAAGTTTGGTTCATTCAAATATAGTTAGATAAATGGCAAAATTGTAGATAAATGTGAAATTATGCTCGCAGTATAGCCTATTCAAATGGCCATAAATTCGGTTTGGTAAATGATTTTTATTTTTTAATAAGTAACAATTTTTGTTAAAATTATCTTGAATTTAGAATCAATAGATTCGAGCTCAATATGAACAGCTTTTGTCTATATGCTGACCTTGAGATGCTCAAAAAGCGAATCGCAAGCTGCTCAAATGAGACTTGCAGTTATTTTGGCTAACTCACAGGCAATGCCTTTCTTCTGCACCTCAAAGCTGGTGTATTTATAAGCTCACAACTTGCTCTTTAAAAGAGATAGTATCTTTAAATTTGTGCTGAATTCGAGTCATTCTGTTGGGAAGGTTTTGCAGCCATGCCTGGTTGACTCGTCGAGTAGCTGACGTTTCGTACTAGTTTTTAATATTTGAAGGTAAA